TTTTTTTAAATTGTAATTATATAGAAATATTATGGAATATGTAATGTCATTAACAATAATTGTCTTCAATTGTTCATAAAATTTTTTTACTATTATTTCAAGTACACATGTGTAAACATTTTGTTTACTTATTCAAATGTAAACAAAATCAGATGTTTTACGAATCGAATAATTGCACTTTAAGTGCGGTGCAGACTATCATACTGATGTGTCATACGAGAGAGAAAACGTTGTGTGACACACAGGTACGATAGTCTGCACCTCTCACCAATATGTTGGGGTGCTCACAAACATTTTGGTGAGCAGCTCTCGCCAACGTGTTGTGTATGATATTCTATCACCCCAAACGATTCATACGTCATACAAGAGCATTTTTACCTTACAAATTTATTGTAAGCGGGCGATATACAGTTTGTCAACATTGTGTTTGCAAAACGAAAAAAATGTTACAAATGTTTATTAAATGCCCAATAAAAACGATTTAATTTTGAAATAAAAAAAAATTAAGAAGTTTACACAAATAAATTAAACATTTCTCTTTATATTAAACTAAAAATTAATCAAAAATATCATTAGAACAATAAAATAATTCACAAAAATAAAAATAACACCAAATTTGTTGTGTCAACATTGTGTTTGCAATTTCTTATTTTCAACGGGACAGAATCCGTTAGATGTGTCTGGGTTTTTCTGTTTGTTATAATATTCTGCAGAAGCAGTTCAGTTTCTTTGTTATTTAGTAAAGTAGAGTGTTTTAAGTGAGGGAATAACTAGAACGCACGTGATTAAATATGCCAAGTAAAAGAAGTAAAAGAACAAATTCAAATAATATTGAGTTAGTATGTTGTAATTACTACCTCGGTAAATCTGCTAAGGAATAAAATCTAATGTTTAATATTAGGTTAAGAACTATTTATAATATCATAAACAGAGCAGAAAATTAGGATTGTATTAGTTTAAAACCAGCAGACCACCGTATTAAACCATTGTCTGATCGCTATATAAGAAGAGTATTGCAAATAATTGATAAAAATCCTTGAATTTCCTTACGATCATTGGCATTAGGTCTGGAGAAGCTATTTAATACTGTTGTTAGTCACGAGGAAATAAGAAAAGTGCTATTACAAAACATGTTATCTGTTCCAAAAATTGAAAAACGATTTCAGTTTGCTAGCACATATTTAAGATATGATTCAGAGTACTAAGATGATGTGATTATAAAGATCGCAAAAAAAGACGCGGCATATATAAAATATACAAAATTTGATCAATTATAAGCAAAGCGCAACCTATACGTTAACTATCCATTTTTTCAATTTTACGATTTTAAAATTTTATTTTAAACTTCACACAAATTTTCACAGCACCACCCGAAAAGCAGTCTTCAAAAATTTTGCGTAAATGACGACTCTTGTGTCTCATACCTGTTCAAGTTCAGTCGCTAGAAGAAATTTGAGCAAAAGAGAGTGCAACTTGTGTGACACACCAGCATGATAGTCTTCACCGCGCTTTAGAGTAGACCGAAATTTTCATTTTATTTCTGCTTAAGTTCACTAAAGTTTTTACGGTACACGTCGGCTGATTGTACCTTAAAGCTTACTTGGCACTTATAATATATTAAATTCTTAATGCTACCACATTTTTTATGTAAAAGTAAACGTTTAATCTGATACGTTCAAAATAAAAAATTAGTAGAAATCGCTTCCGAATATTAAAAAAATAGTAATAATTAATAAATTCGATTTGAATTATGCAATAACTGATATCTCTACAATAAGAATAGTATTTAAATCAAACAATTACAAAAAACTATAATTAATTAATTCAATTATTCTGTAACTGTTTTACTATTTCGTTGTAATACCGCATGGTAATTTGTTTATAAGCTTTCACAGCTAAATTCACAAAATACCAATTTCGAACACACAAGTCAAATACGGACTTCAAATATTCTGTGCTTCAAATTTGACAGGGTACGCGTTCACTCTTGGTACTTGCAGTCTCAAACAATAATTTAATATAAGAAATAATTCTATGACCACGGATGGTGGATATTTGGCAATACTCGAAACAGCTGTATGGTCAGCCAAAAACTCAATAAATAAAAACAATAAAACATGTTATTGTTTCAATTCACTACATATTATTGTTTTCAATTAATACGGTAGTTTCTATAAAGTAAAATGGTTCCTGTCGTCATAACTGACATTATAATGGAAATAAATATAAATTTAAAAATTCAATCAATCTTCCATAACTCAAAATTCTATAACACGAATTTTTTATAACTCAAACTAAGTAGAGTGCAACAGCGTTTAGACAGCAAATTATATACAATTACAAAAAAAATTTTTAACTCGAAGTCTCTATAAGTCGAACTTTTTTTTACAAAGTTCATAGAATAGGTTCTATACATAAGAAAGAAAAATAAAAAATCATTCAATATGTAATGCGTTTTCAAAAGAATATTTTAAATTTAACATTAAAAATTAAAATCAATTATCTACAGCTGGTTTATGATTTAGTTTTAATATAACACAGCATGTGAATTTGTTAATAAACTTTCACAGCCATTAACAAAACCCCAAATTTTAATTTGCAAGTTAAGTACGGCTTTAGGTCAGTTAACTAATAAACACTGACTGAACTTCAAATTTGGCAGGGTACTAGTCCACATTTGGTACTTACAGTGTAAAAAATTATTTGCGAATAATTAAATGTAAGAAATATTTTCAAAAAAGCCACTGATAAGCATTTGGCAACACTTGAAACAGTTGTATGGATCATCCAAAAATTAAATTAATTAAAAATAAATGTTTTGTTTTTGTAATCCACTACTGCTTGAAAAAACCTTTTTTAATCAATGATATATTGAATGAAGTTTCTACATATGATTTTAATTAAATATTTTGTGTTGCGTGAATCGACGAAAATAAATTCAAAAAATAGAAAAACAAAACTGAAGCAATTTTATTTCATAAATCGATACGATCAAGTATGCTCTCTGTTTAGAATAACTATTTGCACCGATATCGTTACTTGTACTAATGAGTCTTTTTATAGGTTTCTCGCCAAATAAGAAATTTGTATATATTAGACTTAATTCTGTTCTGTCTTAATTCTTAAACCTGTCATTTTATTTTTATATTAAACTTAAACGATACTCTTTCTTTAGGATTTCCTTGTGAAACATTAAGCCGTATTATAAATTCGTTAAAATCACCTTCAATGGTTTGCGAAGGAACACATTTCGATGGACAAATTCCACATACTTTTGTCATATTTGGCGCTTCTGTAAGTTTGACGATACGAAAATAAATCTTATATGGATTTTGTGTTACACGTCTGTTTATGTAATTAAGAAATTTTAAACAAATTTAATTTTTTGCATCTGTAGGGTGACTTGGCAAAAAAGAAAATTTATCCTACACTTTGGTGGCTTTTTCGTGATAATCTCTTGCCAAAACCCACAAAGTTTTGCGGTTATGCTCGTTCGAAATTATCCATTAAAGAGTTAAAGGAGAAATGCCACCATCATATGAAGGTATCGTATATTTTGAATATCAATGTGAAATATATATTTAAACAAAAGTTTATTATATTTGTGGCATTAAGGTGCAACCGGATGAAGAAGTGAAATACAAAGAATTTTGGGAACTAAATAATTACGTCTCGGGCAGCTATGATGGTCTAAGGGGTTTTGAGTTACTTAATAACCAAATGGAAATAATGGAAAATAAATGTAAAGCCAATCGTATATTTTATTTAGCGTTGCCGCCTTCGGTATTTCAAGAAGTAACTGTAAATCTAAAGCAGATTTGCATGTCTAAGAAGTATGGATGTATCATTACATTATTTAATTCAAAATTTAATAACCTAATTTTTTTATTTAATTAGAGGATGGAATCGTGTCATAATTGAAAAACCATTTGGTCGTGATGATGCGTCATCAAGCCAATTAAGTGATCATTTGGCATCATTGTTCTCTGAATCTCAAATATATCGTATTGATCACTACCTTGGCAAGGAGATGGTACAGAATTTGATGACTATACGTTTTGGTAACAAAATTCTTAGCTCAACATGGAATCGGGAAAATATTGCTTCAGTTTTCATTACATTTAAAGAACCCTTTGGTACTCAAGGTCGTGGTGGATATTTTGATGAATTCGGCATTATACGCGATGTTATGCAAAATCACCTACTACAAATTCTATCATTAGTTGCTATGGAAAAACCTGTGTCGTGCCACCCTAATGATATACGTGATGAAAAAGTGAAAGTACTCAAGAGCATAGAAGCTCTGACTTTAAATGATATTGTTCTTGGACAGTACATTGGAAATCCAAATGGTGAAGGTGATGTAAAGTCTGGTTATTTGGACGACATCACTGTATCAAATGATTCTACAACACCTACATATGCGTTAAGTGTTTTACATATAAACAATGAACGGTGGGAAGGAGTTCCGTTTATATTAAGATGTGGAAAAGCTCTAAATGAAAGAAAAACTGAGGTACGGATTCAATACCACGACGTTCCAGGTGATATATTTGAGGGTAACAGTAAGCGCAATGAACTTGTTATTCGTGTACAACCAGGCGAAGCTTTAT